GTGTGTGTGTGTGTGTGACTTTACCTCAGCACTTTAAATTTGGGGAAGTGGATGGAGTTCCTGATGAACACTGTGAAGTTGATGGCCTCCACTAATGGCGGCTCTCTGTTGAGGACAACAGATAATTATTAACAGTTCCCTAAAGTGATGTTATTTCAGCTGCTGATTTCAGTTAAAATGCTCTGTTTGACCGCATTTTCTAGTTCAGTGACAAAGCAAATATCATCAGACATCTCTTATCTACTCTGCGAATGTCCTTGTCGCAGCATCATTTCTGCAGGCCCTCTTCCAATATATTGATTTTTGTGATTGTTTATTTATTATTAGGTAAATAGCAACCAACTAACTATTACAGCTGTGTGAGGCTGGCAGGTTGCAAATACAACATTCAGAGTAACTGAGCGCTGACTGTTGGGCTGTTTAATATTTTCCGTCATTACTTTTACTGTTGAGTAGTCAATGTGAATGTCTGCCAGACTGATGACCAGTGAGACTTCTCATCCAGTGAAAGAATGCAACTAAGTACATTTACTTCAGTATGATTTTGATGCTCATGTACTTTTATAGAATATTTTCATTTTGTGCTGCACTATATTTCAGAGGGAAATATTTTCTACTCCACTACACTTACTTGTCAGTTTTAGCTACTTTCAAGATAAGATAAGATAAGATAAGATACGATACGATACGATACGATACGATACGATAAGATAAGCTTTATTTGTCACATACAAATTTATACATGGTACAATGTGCAGTGAAATGTATTTTGTACCAGCCTCCAGTTTCAGTAAAAGAAAAAGGAAAAACAAAAGAAACTAAAAATAAGTGTTAAAGAAGTATATATACTTTAAGTATATATACATACACATAAATAATCAAATAAATAAAGCAAATGGAACACTGTTATGATACATAAGGTGCATATGTGAAAGGTGCCCGTGTATATTGCACAGTCCTGTTTTAAAGCTCAGAGAATTTTTTTTATATAATGAATAAAACAACAAGCATTAAAAATACAACATATTGTTCAAGATTAAACCAGTGGTTTCCAACTGTTTGGGCATCTGACTGATTTTCCAGTGATTTTTCACTCTACGCTTCTCCAGAACTGAAAAGTTTTTTTTTTTTTTTTCCTCTCGTATTTATTATCTGACACCTCTCAGATTTATCTGCTGTTCCTGTAAATAAAACTATATATAAAGCAGTTCAGATTATCTGCACCTGCAGCAGCTACTACGGTAACATGCTCATCTCATCACATTACCTGTATCTCATGATGTTACATATAATAATACTTTCAAAGTTTTACTTAAGCAGGATTTTTCATGCACTACTTTTGCTTGTAATAGAGTGTTTTTTATGATGCTGTATTGGTATTATAACTGAAATAAATGATCTGAATACCCCTTCCACCACTGTGATTATCAGTAAATCTACTTCTGTGAATTTCCTTGTTACTCTACTCGCTGTGCAATAACATCAGTTAAGTGCTTGTAGTTTCTCTTTGTTTTCCTATTCATTTTTATTCTGGTTTCTATCTGTCAGTTCTCACCTCACACTGATTTTCTTGCGTGTTAAGATATTTGTGGCCCTTTTCCTTGTCTGCTGAAACCCTTGTAGACAACTGGATGATCCAAATGAACCTGACTGGAGCCTGACCACCCAGACTGTTCTAGATTATGTATCACCTGTCTTACCGTACTACAGCGTGCTCCTCTATAGGACACCAGGTTTGGATCTCACAGGTTTTGAATGTGTAGTTGTAGTATTGAACACATCTTCCGGTTCGTCTGCCTGTAGGAAGAAGAAAAACTGTGGCAAATACAAACCAACCAGTCATGAAAAAAGATTATGTGAGAAGAAAAAATGGTACCATGGCCATCAAAGTCGACCTGCCCCGCTACGCAGTCAGAGTCTTCTGTACAGTTGGCATTGGGAACTTTGAAATACTGAAGTGAAACAAGACAGACGTTCAGTGGTGAGAGACTACGGTGTCTGTGTAATTGATACAGCTATTAGATTATATTGTCTTGTATGCTGTTCTTCCTCAGAAGACTCTAGTAGATTTCTTACCTCGGCGCAGGTGCCCTGCATCTGATTGTAGGTGAATTCTCGCCTCAGTATTGTACTAATCACATCACCACCCTTAAAAGAAAATGTCAAACAATACTCACTTTACTCCAGCGTAAGGAGATAATTATATGACAGAGTATGGGAAGTGAGAGTTTATTTATGATGCTGCAACTTTTATTCTGAACTCACCTCTGAGGGTCGAGCATACTCCACAGTGTCCAGGATTTCGTCTCCATGAACCGCTGAGCCTTTCATGAGAGTGTAAACGGAGCTCTCTGGACGGGTTTCACTTTCTTGGTATGCTTTCTGACTTATAAACACATACCTTGAGGAGGATAGAACAGACAGGAATAATATCACATTTTCTGCCATGATGTCAAATTTTATTGGCGGGATCATGTTACACTGGATCTTTTCAGCCCTCTTTGCTGAAGCCAAGAAAAGAAGATGACGCACTTGAATCCAAGGCATCTAGGAAATGTTTTAAGACCTGAAAGATTTACATGAATAATACAATTTTCAGATGTTCCTAATCTGTAAAAAATGCTCATCTAAGATTAAACAACAGATTGATGAGCAAGAGAGAGGGACTCCATCACAATTCTTGCTATTAATTTTCTTCCATCTATTATAATCATAATTTGCACCTAGCTCCAAATGAGATGCATTTCCTCTCTACAACATGAAATTTAAGTTTGAACCTTATATTCTATTTTTACACACAGTGACTTACTGATAACTAAGATGTTTTACTTTACTGTAATTCCTAACAGAAGCATTACATAATACACTTTATACATTAATATGTAGAATAATGAACCAGAATTTCATATATTGTCTCTTTTGACACATACAGTGGACATGCAAACCCACAAACATGAAACTTACCAGATGAAATAGGTGATCACGAGAAACTGAACCGTCCTGTATATGACTCCAAGAGTTGTGTTTTTAACAACCATCACCTTGGGGGTCTCATAGTCCCAGAAACCTTGAAAATATTCCAATATAAACTCGCGTAGCCCCATGGCGATGTGATGAAATACTTCACACATATCCTGAGATGTCCTTAAGAAGTCTTTTTTCCCCCCTCTATGTTTCTACTTCCACCTCTCTATCTAGCTGTATAGTTCTGTCATTGTTTCTCTATTCTCACTTTATCTGCTCCTGCTCGGCTCCAGCCTTCATTTCTCTGGAGCATCACTGGCACCAGTGAGTGAGGAAGAAGACAAGGAGGTGGGGCTCAGTTGTGGTTGAACTGTGCATTTTTATTTGATGTCTGTTTACTCTGGTAATTGTACAGCGTCATTGTGTTTTACACTGAATCAGACAAAAAATAAAATAAAAAAATCTAAATAAAATGCCTCAAGTCCTGGACAGGAACAGGAACTTTTTTTAATACCCATTTTAAATAATTCTTTTGTTTACTTATTAGGTTGAAAATCTATGCTTATATTGTTCCCTGTCTTGCAATTTCTAAATTGTAACAAACTTAAAAACAACGATAAATAATAATAATAATAATAATAATAATAAGAGATTTAATAAATGAGAAGCTTTTCACACAGGATGAGGAAGCTGTGGTCTACAAACACCAAAGTGCCACCAAAAAACTACAATTCGCTTTTCACTGCCTTATTTGAATACAAATTTAGCCTCATTCTCCCTTTGTCTTCCTCTTGTGAAATATATTTAACTATATATACACCAAAAACCGATGTGTATGTACATTAAACACTATTATACACCAGCACATAGTTTTGCGTGCAAAAACAGAGATTATTTTTATTTATTTGCTTTCTTTTGTATACAGGCGGGCTCATGGCAGACCTCGGGGTCCTGCTGTCTTCTCGCACCGCCTCTTCCGCGCATGTCAGGCGACACGTGCGTCGGCTGTGTATCGTTGTGGGGAGCCTTGCGTGCTCCTGTTAGCTTTTGAGTTTGTTGATAATTACATTTTAACTAAACTTCAGTGGACCGTCGCACAGCTTTTGAAAATGGGAGGTCTTCAAAAGAAAAAGGTGAGAGTTGGCGTCAAGCTGATGTCAGGCTCAGACACATTAACACAGGCAGCAGCCTGGCTATCTCGTTAGCTAACGTAGCTAGCTTAAGTTTGTTTTTGTGATACAGGACTCTCTGTTGGGTGCAAATGGGTATCTCTATGTTAAACGTGCTGTTAGCCTGGCTGTGAAGCTAAGTCATACGGTTTGTGTCTCCTCGTGTGAGTTAAATGTGAGTGTCTGTCCTTGTTTTGCAGTACGAGAGGGGCTCAGCCACCAACTACATCACCAGAAACCGAGCTCGCAAGAAGTTGATGCTGAGTCTCCCAGATTTCAGGTAGCTTTACAGCGCTGATTATGTAATGGGGTTGGATTATATGGATGCCGTTTTGTATGTGGTATATGAGATTTCAAATGCAATAGTCTGATTTAATAGTTCTTTATCATAGCTACCTCTTTCGCCGTTATTTCTATAGCACATTTAAAACAACAGCCGATGAGCCAAACTGTTTTTCAGGAAAGAAATGAGTATAAATATTTATGTTAAGGACCTACATAACTATTGATGTTATGAAATTATCAGAATAATTTAAATATTATGGTTTTTACAAATTCACCTAAAACACTATCATGCTAGTGATTAGGTTAATTTACTAGACTAAATGTTAAGACTCTGCAGATTCATTCACGGAAAACTTAGTAAATCCGAAGATTTCCTTTGAGCAAGCATGTTTGTGACTGTTAAGAGGAAAAACACTATTTTGCCAGGAAGGAAAAGCATCCAGCAGAACGAGGTTAAAAGAAGGGTGGCATCAACTGGTTTGCCTGAGGGTAAAGGGGGGGGGAGAAAAGATGGCAGACACAAACTATTAGAAACACCTGTCAATGTGAAGCAGTGCATTTAAACAGTAACACAAGCTGCAGCCTCTAAACAATATGACCTTAAAGAAGATGGGATGTAATGCAGCATCATTCAATAAGACAAAGTTCTGTAGTTTATCTTATATTACTTTTAGCTAGGTGGAGCACATGCTGTTATTTTGCAAACTTTCAGGAAAGTGAATTGAAATCAGTTCATAAGTAAAATAACCAGACGTAAATGTTTATTTGCTGAATCTGGAGAGAATTTAGTGGCTTAAAAACCAAGGTTTTTTATCTGTGATCAGTTTCAGCATTGTATGTGTGTATAGGACTTACATCATCACAACACATAAAACTGTCGAGTGTTGTCTAGCTCCATACCTCAATGTCAAGCTGGAAAGGCACACTCAGAAAGCAGACATGTCACTTCTAACGCTTTCTGATTTTCAGGCGACTGTGCATCCTTAAAGGCATCTATCCTCATGAACCAAAGCACAAGAAGAAGGTGAACAAGGGCTCCACAGCCCCCAGGACCTTTTACCTGCTCAAAGACATCCGCTTTCTGCTGCATGAGCCAATCGTTGGGAAGTTCAGAGAATACAAGGTATGTTAAATAACAGCACCAGTGTTTGAACATGCTTCAGTATAAAGAGATGACATGATTATATTGAAAACTAACGTAGTTGTACTGCTGTCTTTAAATTAACTTCTTTTTTTGAGGCTGAAAACGGTTTGCACTTTGTAGTTTGTTTGTGTCTATGACTTGTTGATGTTACTGTGCAGCTATTTTCTTAATGAACACACTCTTATTGTCCAACTGTTTCACTTTAACAGATATTTGTGCGTAAACTTAAGAAGGCCTATGGAAAAACAGAGTGGAGTACAGTTGAAAGACTGAGAGAAAACAAGCCGACCTATAAATTGGACCACATCATCAAAGAAAGGTGAGACGGTTGTTCTCCGCAATCAACATTGGAGGGCACAGTTGAGCTAAACTTACTTCCTCTGTCTCTGCCAGAAAGCGCTAGATAAGTGCAGACCATAAGTGCAGACCAAGTCAAATGAGGTGGCATTAGTTGAAAAGTAGCATGTCTGTTGTCTTACTATTGCCGCTTCGTCTCTGAACCCAAAACCTGTCGGTGGGTTTGAATGGCATGTTTTGCGTTGGCCAAAGTGACACCATTTATCAGAGAACAAAACTGTAAAGATACAAAATTAAAAAAATCAACTGATTTTAAACTTTCTAATGGCTGTTGAACCCTCCTGTGCAATGTTCATACCCTGTGCTCGGCACACCTTAGGACTAATCACTGCTACAGTGCCACAGTGCAGTCGCTGGTCTGTAACCAGCTGCTACATCCCTGTGTGTTTTCTTTTTATTATTATTATTATTATTATTTGTGTTCAATATGATGGGCAATTTGCCTGTCCACATGGCAGACTGATGCAGAACTATTGTAGTATGAATAGAGTGCACTTTGTAGTCAAGTAGCCAAAACACTTAACTTAAAGATGCTCATCTGAACCCATCAGTCTACTGTTTCATTTAGCTCTGTCAGCTAACTCAGTAGTCAGACTGCTCTCAGTGTTGATGTGCCTGAGCCTGACATCAGCCAGACAGCAGCTGTGACCTTTTGCTTTGGTCACAAAGACCTGCAAACAAGATTGCCCAGACACAACTTGGGGTTTGAAGGATTTACATATTTTAGTTTATTTAGTTTTTTCAAAACATAACATATCAATTGCAATGCCTTACTGGTGTTTCTTTACGTTACAGGTACCCCAGCTTCATTGATGCTCTCCGTGACATCGACGATGCCCTCTGCATGTGCTTCCTTTTCTCCACTTTCGCCAGAACAGGAAAGTGTCATGTGCAGACAATCCAGCTGTGCAGACGCCTCACTGTGGAGTGGATGAACTATGTGATTGCATCTCGTTCTCTCCGCAAGGTGCGAGTTAAAACTGCACATCATGCAAAAAATAAGGACTTCATGGGGTATTGATATGTCCTCATGAGAGTTAATGGACCTGTGTTCTATAACACGCTGAACCTCTTTCTGTTCCTGATAGGTTTTCATCTCCATCAAGGGAATATATTATCAAGCCGAGGTGATGGGACAGCTCATCACATGGCTGGTGCCGTATCAGTTCTCCCATGATGTAAGTGCAGCCTGATGAAATGCAGTCCATAGTGATTATGATAATAGATGCAGTCACTTTATTATTATGGGATTACATTGACAGTTGACATCAGCTCTGTCAGCATTTGAACCCACGTTGGCAAACAGAGATGCTCTCATACAAGAAAAGTGAAGTTCTCTGACTACCCAAGCTGTTTGTGTGCTCCAATCCTATTCATGTTAAAAAAAAAATTAAACATTTGCACTTATAACTACTAAGTTTACCATTGAAACTTGGTTAGATTGAAGTTTTGTGTTCTCTTTCAGCACCCAACAGATGTTGACTACAGAGTAATGGCAACTTTCACAGAGATGTACACCACTCTCCTGGGCTTTGTCAACTTCAGACTTTACCATTCCCTCAACTTGCTCTACCCACCAAAGGTACGTTGGGCTCTGAAAAGATTACATGGGTTAAAATGGGGATTTATGACAGGATGGTGGCCTGTTAGCCTGTAGTCTCTTAATGTTTGCTCTCTTTTTTTCAGCTGGATGCTAAAGCACAGGCAGAGCTGAAGGAAGAGGATGAGGATGACTATGCCATGAATTCAGAAAGCTACTTAGAGGTAAGCTTTTTTTTTTTTATTTTAGATTTTGAATAATTTAAAGGACATGTTACACCCTTTACTCCTACGTCTGGTGTTACATAGTCACACACGTAGATTGGTTTTATTTTGCACTGCCCCCTAATAGTTGATGCTTTGAAGCATCAGTGGTAGATCCTTGATTTGATTCAGATTACTGGAACATCCATTTATCTACCTGACAACATGTGCTTACGGTTATCAGATGATAGGAGCTGAAACCTGAGGTGGAGTGATACTCTTGTTACCTGCTGAGCCTTTACCTTTAAGGAACATGGCCTTAGGGTAGGGTGCAACAGATTCCAAAACTCCTCTTTGAGATCGTGTCACAGCTTTTGAGTCATGGATCTTATCATTTTTCTGATAAGCAAAAAAACAAAAACAAAAGGGAGACAAATATTGTCATGACTGCAGTGTGCTGTAAACATGC